CAAATAAGAAGCCATTTACTGTAGAAATTGTAGCAGATGTAGTCCTTTTCCTTGAACCGCTGTGCTTTAAATGCTGTGATTTGGGGCAATGTAGCGTTTTGTCAGTTGATTTGCTGAGTTTCATGCTTGATTTATCATAAAAGCTAAGCGACAGCCAGAAGAAGATAAACCACAATATGCATTCTTTCCAATGTCTAACACTGTTTCTTGAGGTTGTCAAGCCAATAGTCTCAAATTGTAATACAGTTTTGTTTTCTTGTTGACACACAATTTACTGAACTTTTTTAAGTATTACATAAGATGGGTCCTAAACGCTTATGGTGGCACCCGAACTCCCCTGACATCTTGACTGTGTGCACTGCTTGAGCTGCGCCTTAACCACTAGAATGTTTCCTAGGAGACAGAACAATCTGAACTAAAGGTCTTGTTAATTTGCTCATGTTTGGGGTGCCATTGCCAATTTGGTTTTGTGATTAATTGTTTGCTTATACATTCTCCTATCGATTCAGGTTCTCCTTGTGTGATGCAGCCTTAACTCAGATTCAATAAACTGCGGGAAATAAAAATTGGAATATTGCAAATTTACGAGCTAAGATTCACCAAAATTTCCTATTTTTGCATGTTATCCTGAATACTATTTTGATTAGCAGGATCTACCTTGCTGTCAAAATCTTGCATGTTTCATATATAATTCTACTGACATGATATGTGTTCTATATGCACAGTCCAAACCTGTATTTCATATTACTAAGTGAAAGGTTGCCGGTTAATATCTGTGGTTCCGACTAAAGCTTTTGATTAGTTTAATGTGATGATATATATCATGAGCGTTCTAAAGAATAACCAATGCTGTTTATACACTTGATTTGCACTGCTTTTTGGATGATGGCATGGCATATGAGCTCCCTTTGCAATCATTTTCAAATTAATTCTTGTTCAACTTTGCTTCTTGAACATTTCACTGTATTTAGATTTTACTTAGGCTTCTAAGTATTGTAGTTGACACTCGATTTCCTGACATTGCAATAATTAATTTTTCAGAAAATATGCGCTATATGTCTTGGATCCATGAAAGCGGGACATGGTCATGCACTCTTCACTGCCGAGTGTTCCCACACATTTCACTTCCATTGCATCACTTCAAATGTTAAGCATGGCAACTATGTCTGCCCACTTTGCAAAGCCACTTGGAAGGAGATCCCTTTCAAAGCCTCTCTACCTTCTGAGCATCCTCATGGAAGAGCGAGAGTAAACCCAGTCAGTTGGCTGCAGGAAGGTCATATGACTGTTGTCCGCCGACTTCCTCATGCAGACTCCACAAACAGGCGGCGTGAACAATTTCCTTCTCACTTTCGTGAATTAGAACCGGAAAATTTTAATGATGATGAGCCTTTGGATTTGCTATCTGAAACAGTCAGAAATTCCCAACAAAATTGTCCTAAGATAGTAGAGGTCAAGACATATCCCGAATTCTCAGCTATTTCACAATCAGCTTTGGTGGAGAATTTTGCTGTCCTGGTCCATCTGAAGGCTCCTCATGCTAGCATGAAACAGAATCCTAGCAGAAACCACAATGCAAGCTCCACAGTGTCACAAAACTCTCGTGCTCCAATAGACCTGGTTACCGTGCTTGATGTCAGCGGCAGCATGGCTGGCACAAAGTTGGCACTTCTTAAGCGTGCCATGAGTTTTGTGATCCAAAACCTTGGGCCATCTGATCGCCTTTCGGTCATTGCCTTCTCATCAGCTGCACGACGTCTTTTCCACCTGCGGCGAATGTCCGACACTGGTCGACAGCAGGCTTTGCAAGCTGTCAATTCTTTGGTGTCCAGTGGAGGGACAAACATTGCCGAAGGCCTTAGGAAGGGGGTCAAGGTAATTGAAGAACGGAAGGAGAAGAATCCAGTGTGCAGCATCATCCTTCTCTCTGATGGCCAGGACACTTACACTTTTCCCTCGAGTGCAACTGGAGCTCAACATTCACAACTGGATTACAAATCACTCGTGCCGCCCTCAATTATTAGTGGCACAGCAATACCAGTCCACGCTTTTGGTTTTGGTGCTGACCATGACTCTGCTGCCATGCATTCTATTTCAGAAGTCTCTGGTGGGACTTTCTCTTTTATTGAATCAGAGATCGTCATTCAGGATGCCTTTGCACAATGCATTGGTGGGCTTCTTAGTGTGGTCGTGCAGGAGATGCAGTTGGATGTGGAGTGTGTGCATCCTGGTGTGCAGCTAGCTTCTATAAAATCAGGTAGCTACAGGAATCAGTTGTTGAATGATGCTCGCACCGGATTGATCGAGGTAGGTGACCTTTATGCTGATGAAGAGAGGGACTTTCTGGTTTCGGTAAATGTTCCATGTGCCAAAGAAGAGATAATACTCCTTAAGGTGGCCTGTGTCTATAGGGACCCAATTTCAAAAGATACTGTTCATTTGGAGGTTAAAGAAGTAAGAATTCAGAGGCCAGAAATCATCTTATCCCAAACCCCCTCGATTGAGGTCGACCGTGAGAGGAACCGTATTGAGTCTGCTGAGGCAATGTCTGATGCGAGGGCTGCCGCCGAGCGAGGTGATCTATCTGATGCAGTTTCAATACTCGAGCAGCGTCGAATGATACTGTCCGAGTCCTTGGCTGCACAGTCAAACGACCAACTATGTTTGGCTCTGGATGCAGAACTGAGGGAGATGCAAGACAGGATGGCAAGTCGACAGAGATACGAGGCCTCGGGGCGTGCTTATGTGCTGTCGGGACTGAGCTCGCACTCATGGCAGAGAGCAACCACACGTGGTGACTCGACCGATAGTGCTAGTCTTGTCCATGCTTATCAGACGCCGACGATGGTTTACATGCTAAATCGTTCACAGACTATGTGCCCCTCACCTCGGCATCCTGCTCCACCCATCCAGCATACAAGGTCTTTCCCTTCTCAGCCACAGTCAAACTAGTCGAAGTCTCTGATTCAACGGAGGGTTAAATTAAATAAAAAAAAAAGGAACCATGTCTTGTTTAATACCTGTCTCTTCTCTTCTTATTTGAGGTGGCGGTGGTGGTGGATATGGTGGTATACTGGTGAAAGTAAAGCTGAAGCGGTTTTAAGGCATACAAGGTGGAGGGATACAAGTATGGTGTAAATGAATAACTCTGGAGGTGGGATAAAGTGGTAATGTGGGTGAAATGGTATAATGTTAAGAGGGAGAAGGTGTAGGTAATAGCTTTATTGGTTTTTATTTTTTATTTTCCTCTTTGAACTTTGTTGTTGGTGATGTACATAGGAGAAGGTTTTCCCTGAAGAGGACGATGTCCTAAGGTTGTAATCTCTGCAAATATTTGGGGGGTGCATTCTTCTCTTGGATTCATCTATCTACTATTGTCAGACTATTTCTTCTTCATTTTTCTCTTGCCACTTTTGGATGTCCTTGTGGATGGTTTGCCCGTGATATGGACTTCTCAGCGACATACACTGACTCGATTCCTCACTTGGTTGCTTGAATGCTCCTTTGCCATGTCTTTACTGGTACTTGGTTGCATGGGTAATACTAGAAATGCAAGACTGGCATGGAATTGCAAAGGATCACAACACTGTAATCATCTCTGGCTGTATCTTGTGGTGTGTTGTATGTAGTATGGTTCATGCTAAACCTTGAAAAACTCTAACAGGAATACATGGAACAAACATTGAGGTAAAAGCACCATAATAATCACAAGCTCATCGATGTGTTTTACCAAGCTGTTGCCTATACATATGTTGACAAATACCTTGCCTATACATAGAGTTTTAACAAAAACTCTATCAAAGCAATACCTTGTGATCTCTCTATTTCTACAAGTAGCAAAAACATCCAACCGATTATTTTTCCTAGGGGAACTCTGAGTTAAAAACACTCGTCCTCACTAAATTATGCCTAACCTTAGAAAATTGAACAAAACACTTGAGCTCACCAGATCAAGCAAAACAACCCAACCTCATCAGAATATTGATCTCGTTAAAGGTCCTTCTGCACACCTCTTTTCATCTAAAAAGATTGGCAAAAAAATCTCTTTGAGGATTTTCTCGCACACAAAAGTTCTTATTCTTAATAGGTCTCATGACATCGAAGTGCTTGACTTCAATAGATGGAGCAAAAATGATTAACCTTAATAAACATGCAACAAAAAAAGAAAGCCAAATCTAGCCTAGGTCAAGCACAAAAAATAAAAATAATTACAACGACTAATCACACACTTGGCCCATGATAGATCTATAATATCTGACAAGCGATAAATTTACTATTAGAGCTTATGCCTAATCAAGCCCGATCAAGTCAATAATGTTTGAACCTACAATAATCGATCCCCTCTTAGTACACTTCATAGATCTAACATTGTATGCAGTATATCTGATCAAGACAAAAGAAAATCGAAACATATAATGTGTCATAGCATCTCTATTTATGCATGATTCATCTAGGATGATAAAAGAATATTTGAATTACTTGTATATACCAAAGCAATGTATCTTCTAAGAATAAGAAAATACCTAAAATATCTAATGTACCCATAGCATCTCCTTTTATCCTCAATGCATTTACTCAAATGACTCAAGATGTCTTCTTTATACATGACACATCTATACAGAATAAAAAGAATATTCAAAATACCTAATGTACTGAAGGCATCTCCTTTCATATGTGATGCATCCATTGGAGGAGAAAAATAAAGCATTCAATGCATCTCTCTCTGTATGTAATGTGTAGCCACTCAAGACGAAGCAAAATATCTAAAAGACCTGACACACCCATGACATTTACTTTTATGCCCAATGTGTTTGTCCAAGGTAAAACAGTATTATTTGAAACACTATACACGACCAAAAGTATAGTCGGAGATTGTCTTCGCCGTCGCATTCTATCTAAAAGACCCGACACACCCATGTCGTGCGACCACCTATAAGGCAGAGCATCTCAAGGTGGAGGGAGAGGTCTGGAGGTGGGTGCGAACGAATTCTTCGAGAGTCGGAGATTGTCTTCGCCGTCGCTTCTGCGGTTCCTTCACCTCTAATCCGATCAAGTTTCCAGGAAGACGATGGTCGTCTGCGAGCGCCGCTAGGTTTTGCCTATTGTTTCTGGTAACTCCCACCATGATCTCATCTTTTTGTTCCTCTGTCAATTCTTTTAATTTTACAAGTATTGCAAGCATAATACCAGTTTGTTTACTAACTAATCGAGCTAATCTGTTGGGGGGATTCAAGAAATAGCAGTAAACGGCAGCCAAAAATTGGGTCTTTATTGCGGAATTCCACGACTAAGGAATCCTCTTCACCACCGCGTCTTACAGCCGCCTTAAGCCAGCCACCACCGTAACCCATAAAAAAAAATAGGAAAAGAAAATAAAATAGAAAAACAGAAGAAACGAAGCAGAAGAGAAAAAGGAAACAGAGGAAGAAGAAAGGGAAGAGAGAGGGAGAAAGAAACTTACCAGCCTTCGTTTTTGGCATTGGAGATCAGAAAACTAAATTAGGTATGGTTTTGAATTCTGTAACTTTCCTGCTAATTAGATTACCAAATAGGGTTATCAATTAGCTAATTTTAGCTTCCTAAGTTAATAGGATCCTTAATAATATTAATTTTTAATTATCATTAGTTTATTCTCAAAGAATTATGTTTTAAGCTAATCTGATGGGGAAAAAAAGGACAAAGCTAATCTGTAATAGTGCTTTAAGTGGTAAATGTAACCTGTAAAATTAATTACTTTATGCTGTACTTTAGGTTTTTTTCTTTTTTTTTAAAAAAAAGATAAAATTATAGTCGCAATATTATGTGGGAATTAACAGAGAGATTAAGCATGTTTATCAAGTTATAAACGTACTTACAGTGTATAGGGAATTGATAAAATTTTAGAATAATTAGAAATGGTAACAATGAAAAATGAAGAATAAAATAAAATTAATATATATATGATATTTATTTATATTTTATGAGTGATTTGTGAATAATATTGTGTGTATAATTAGGAGAAGGAGTGTTTTGATTATTAAGTGAATCAAGGATACACAATTTGAGTCTGGACTTACGAATGGGGGTTATATATTGGTTTTATTTAGAAACTAGTGTTTTGACACAAGAAGATATATGTTATCTATACCATAGGGGTTAAACATGGTTCTAGGTTTTATCACGGAAATATAACATGATCGTCGTCGTTAGCATTACTATGACTATATTTTTGACATGTACTTTTGGTTATAGTTATATTTATTATAAATTTAGACATATATTTTTAGCTATATTTATTTCGATTACAGATAACTAATCATCATCATTTATATGAATATGATATTTATTCTGATATACCATTTAGCTATAGTTATGGTTTTGTTTATTTTGAAATAAATATAAAGCTTATAGTATTTGATATAAATAATAAGAATAATTTGACATTTTTAATGTTGTATTAAATTGATTATGAAAAGTACTTATAATTATATATTTGTACGTATTTGTAATAAATTTTGATTGGTATATGAGTTATGGTGTTTATTGGGATGTTGTTTGCTCATATGTTTATTCTTTGAATTTTTAAATCCCGAGAAATAGTCTAGTGTGGACATGTTTGAGGAAAAATATTATTGTTTGAAACTCTTTTTATTTTGGACTTGTATGATATTAATGTGCAATGTTATTTTGGATATGCTCTGGTGATCTTATAGTTATGTAAATGTATAGTGTCGACTGTGATATAATATAAATTTTTTTATGATTATACGATGGTAAATAACTTGGTGGACCATGTAAAGATTATGTTGCGGTTTTGATTGTGCAATTTATGTTGGATTATTTTGTTAGATATAAGTTGTTGAAATATTATTAAACATGTTATGAATGTCCTATGATTGAATTGTTTATGAGTTAAAAAATAATAAATAACCTATGGAGGCCAATTATTTGATACCTGCTTTTGCATGATTAGTATGGCTATGATGTGGATCCTATCAATAGGGGTTACATTGGTATTTATTCAGAAGCTAGTTTTTTCTGGACAAGGAAGATATGTGTTATCTATATCATTGGGGTTAAACATGATTCTGGGTCTTATCACATGGATATAACATAACAGCAACTGTTAGTATTATTATGACTATAGTTTTGACATTTACTTTTAGCTATAGTTATATTTATTATAAATTTATACATACATCTTTAGCTATATTTATTGATGTTATGGTTAACTCATTGTCATTTATATGAATATGATATTTATTCTAATATACCATATACTTATAGTTATGGTTTTGTTTACTTTGAACTAAATGTAAAGCTTATAATATTTGATAGAAATAATAAGAATGATTTGACATTTGATATGTTGTGTCAAATTGATTGTAAAAAGTACTAATAAATATATATTTGTATGCATTTGTAATAAGTTTTGGTTGGTATACAGGTGAACATGTTTGAGGAAAAATATTATTGTTTGAAACTCTTTTTATTTTGGAGTTATATGATATTAATATGCAATATTATTTTGGATATGCTATGGTGATCTTGTAGTTATATAGATACACGGGTGTTCACTGTGATATAATATAAAATTTTGATGATTATATGATGATAAATAAAGATTTTGTTGCTTGTTTACGTTTTGATCATGCAATTTATGTTGGATTCCTATTGGTAGGTGAGTTGTTAAAGTATAATTAAACATGATATGAATGTCGTATGATTGAATTATTTATGAGTTAAAAATAAATAAATAACCTGTCGAGGTGAATTATTTGTGCAGGTTTTAGCCTTGCAATTCTAATAAAGGATTGCAGCGTTGGGTGTTTAGCAAGAGTTGTTGTTTCAGAGAATTCTTGTAACGATCCATTTAGTCGATGCTTCGTATCATTGCAGATGCTAATTCATAATTTTTACTTGAACGCCGAACGCTTGATCGGTTGGTCTTTTCTAGATGGACTTATCGTACACGAATCTTTCAGCAGTTTCTTGTGCTTATTAGTATGAGTGGTTTGATGATCTCTTCGTGACATTTTCGAAAGTAGGTTTGATATATATGGCTTTTGGGCTTTCTCATCGTCACAGATGTTTTAGGTTTTAAGCCGTCAGGAATAATATTGCTTTTGTCCAAAATGTTCGTTTTTGAGGATCTATACGCATTGTAAGACACCTGATCTGTTTAATCACTATGTTGGTCGGATGAGGTTTCCATGCTTTGCTTGCTTCGTATCGCTGATGAAGTGTCATTCAGTGGTTAGGTGCAAGCCTCATGCCCATCTCTCATCCCCGATTTGACCCGACCCTCATCCCTGTTAGATGCAAGTCGACCGACGACCGACCACCAGTGTTCTCCCAGCGGTGGCGGCGGTGCAGCGCGACACCTTCCCGCAGTACCTCCCTCTCTCTTAGCGCGCTCTCTCCCCTCGACACCTCTCTCTCTCTCTCCTCCTCTCTC